ATTAAAAACAACATTTTGAACCTAAATAATCATCTTATTCAACCATCTGGAGTATATTCCAGCTGATTCACTGCTTCAAATTGGATACAAGGAGTTTTTTGGGTCGACCTTCTTAAAATTCATCAGAAACCTCATATTTCATGTTTTCTAAGAACTTTTATGGATCTCTAAGATGTTATCATAAAATTGTTACCCTGCTTTTGTAATTTTTTAACATATATTTTAATTATTTCAAAGAAAATGTTCTAAACTTTTGTAAATGGTCAATCCAACATAAACCTTTCTTCAAAGTTTGTAAAACCAAAGTACTTCTTTAAATACCTTCTTATTTTGAGTTTAAATATTTCACATCTAATATGAAATGAAAATGCTGTGTTTTTACTAAAACTATACTAAAATCATTTTAATGTCATTTAAAAAGTTTTCCAGAGATGAATTGTGCTCTCTACAATAAATCCATAAAAGACAACGTCCCAGACTGGAGTCATGACAGGCAGCCCGGGCCACAGGCGGCTACAGTCTACCTCTTCTATTCATTCGAATAGCTAATCTGAATCATTTAATTCCGTTTGGAGAGCGAGATCATCTGTGGTAGTAGCACTAGACATCTTCCAGGCATGTGAGTAAAACTAGCAGCAGTTCAGCTAACAGGAGGAATGAATGGTAGCCGGCGCACGCGGATGACGTCATACACACTCCGCTTTGTTTTTTTTATCTAAATACAAAAAATATAACCGCGGATGTCTGAGGGACAGTGATTCGCCTACATGTTATTAATGCTGGCGTACCATAAAGACTTTATTATGAAAAGTTTAGTTTGTGCCTTCAATCTGTTGCCCATAAAAAGATGTTACTTGGATATAACCTAATGGAATGTCTTCAGAACAGCTCCAAATGACACAAAACTAATATGGGTGAGTAGAACATGATATAATAACGTAAAATCAAGGGCCAATATAAAAAAAAACGGCATTCCCCTTTAAGCCCAAAGTGCTTTGGTTTCTCAGCAGGAGAACGTGGTAAAGGACACCAGGAAGTTCACCTCTGAATGATGGAAAAAAAAAATCAGTAAAGGTATTGGAGTGGTCTAGTTAAAGTCTAGACCTGTTTTTATTCAGGTTCTGTTTGCCTGATATTTTACATTTATTTGATGATCCGATAAATATAAGTGGGATGAAAAAGAGTACAGAAAAATAAATCTCTTATGAGTGTTTTCGGAAAATGTTTAGCTCTCTTCTATTATATATTAATTTATCCTATTTACTCACTATAAAAGTTTTCACTCAGTCTGTTTCTCTCTCAAGGTCACACATTTCTTTGCAGGATGGTGTTTGTAGACCAGACATAGCTTCTTCCCATAACAAACCAGATTTCTTTCTCAAGGTTTATTCATAACATGTTACTGTTTAACCAAAGTGTGTGTAATTTCTTATGACTCTGACTACTTTCCATTGTTGTAAGAAAGGGGGAACGAACCCTGCCCAGATCAGAATAGGGCAGAATGCTGCCATAAGGGCTTCATGATGAACTGTTCTCTCTTTGCAAAGATATGAATAAATGTGCCGACTGAGTGAAATCCATCAATCTCTGTTTATTTAACTAGGATGAATAGTTGAATACTTTTTTCCCACGACATGAGGTAAAAACATGTTAACTTCACTGAATATCAGATAATTCCAACATGAAGTTGGTGGTTTTTTTTGACTGAAGGTGAAAAACATAAATAAAGCATACATAGATGGGAATGTTTTCCTCTCACCTTTGATAAAGGGGTTTTCCACTGTTTCACTGGAGCTGCTGCTGACAGGGTTTACCAACTCACAGAAAAAGGANTGGAGTTTCTTCATCTCCAGAACTTTGTTGTTGATCTCAACTATGTAGCTGCCGCTGTCCTCTAGAGTCAGACTGTTGATGGTCAAACTTCCACTTGTTTTATCAAAGTCACAGCGACCTGGAAGCAGGATCCAGATAAAGACATCATGGATGATGATAATCTGCAGGTTCTTGGGATGTAAAACAATTTCTGGTCAACAAGTCAACTGACCTTGGAAACTTTTACTATCAATGTCCTGCCACAATGGCCACCAGCGAGAGTTTGATTTGTACCTCCATTTCACTTTCTCAATAGGCTCTGAAATCTGACCTGGATTCAGAACAATGGAGCCACCAACTTTTCCATACATCAGATCAGCTGTGAATGAAAAACAAGAACATTTTTACTCCTTTATGTGAACTTTTTCTGTTTCTCAGCAGCTGTAATGTTTAACCCTTTCTATCATATCTGCTGATCTACAGAACAGAAGGAAACAGGAAGTTTATTCACTTTCCTAACATTTAAAACTTCTGATTACCAATAAATCTCTGCATAAAAAACTCAAATGATAGCGATGGAGGAGAGTTTTTAGCTTAAACTACCAAAGATCATCTGCTGATTGATGCAAAGTCCTAAATATCTCGTTTTCAGCTAAATTAAATACATTTATTCATTAATTCAAAACAGCATTTTGAACCTAAATAATCATCTTATTTAGCCACCTGGAGTATATTCTAGCTGATACACGGTTTCAAATAGGATATACTGTAAGGAGTTTTTGGGTTGACTTTCCTGAAATTCATCAGAAATCGAATAGTTCATGTTTTCCAAGAACGTTTGTGAAATCTTTATGATTTTCTCATAAAACTGTCCCTCTGCTTTTAACAATCTGAACATAAATTTCAACTATCTCACTTTTTTTTTCAAACTCATTAGCTAAAGTCAAACCTTTATAAATATTTTTTGAAAAATTGTAAAACCAGGAACTTTTAGGCAAGCATCTTTTTTTGGGGGGTCGAAATATTTCACATCCTATGTGAATTAATATGTTTTATATTAGTAAAAGTATACAAGAATAATTTTGAAAGAATTTGAAGTTTTTTTTATTTATTTTTCTGAAAGTTGTGTTTCTTCAAAAGCTGAAGGTTGAAAAGATAAAGAATAGATGGGAATGTTTTCCTCTCACCTCTGATAAAGGGGTTTTCCACTGTT